GTGTTCGTGCAGAAGGAATATTTATTCCGTGTGGTTTCTCTTGTTTTGCAGAACTGTATAGCTAGAAATAGAGAGGGGGCCATTTTGGGAGGAGATAATACCAGCCAATTGAATCGATTTCACCGATAATGATATCAATATTTCCCTCCTAGATTTGGGTGTAAACATTCATTGATAGCTACGTCTTTGCGACCCCACAAGAAGTTCTTTTTGTGTTGTGCTTTTTTATTTTTATTTTCCTACTTCTCCCCAGGCGTTCTGCTCTCAGGGAATTTCATCGAAATGAGGGCGTCCCAAAATATCTGTAGGATTGAAGCCTGCCCATAATATTATACCAAAAAAAACAAGTCACGGTTTGTACGTCTGATGGTCTAGGAGACAACCGTTTTGAATATTCACCTTGCGGAATCCATCTGTTCCAGAATTCTGGGTATGAGCAGAAGCTATGGCGCGTCAGATTGCTCGGCACTCGGAACGCTTTATCCAAAAATGTCGCATAGCACAATGATTAGTAGTAATTTTTTACATGTTGATGATTTCATTTCACTTTGGTAGACCTTGCTAGCGTTGCTGTAAACAGGACTTTCATGTACATCGAACGACCGCTATCAATAATTGCACTGAATGTTTACCTTCGTGAATTTGTTCATGTGCATCGTGAATGTCGACGAAGTTCAAATCAATTTAAGGCAAAGTTCTGAGAACGGTTTTTTGAAATGACTTTTAAAGGCACAGTTCACGATAATTTTGGGTAATCCAAATTATGATGAAAAATGGAAGACAAGATCGAAAATAGTGCGACCCAGGTGAAGAAACTGCGTGCAACGATGTTTCCAAAAAGAAAAAAGGCTTCGAAAAACCGTTAAAAAGAGGGCAACCAGAAAAATGAAGAAGAGTGGGCGTCCGGACGAGCTAAACAGTGTGTTTCACTGCGCGCGTGTGGGTCCTGGTGCGAATAATAGACAATGGTAAGTAAAAATTCACTCACTCATAAGCATAAATAAATTTTAAAAAAACCCTAGTAACAGCAAAAGTAGCTCACCTTTTTTAGACTCTCGGAGTAGGA